TGTAAGACTACAAACCCCTGCATTGTTCTACCAAATCCATGTCCCTGCCTTTGAGAACTTATAAACAGACACCAAACTCGCTTTAGAACTTTCCGACTTCGCTCCGGGACTGTCCAACTGTTCTCCTTCAGAGTGGTGGCATAGGCCCAGCCATTCCGCTCAGTGCGGACCTGCAGCAAATCTCCTGGGTTCGTGGAACCCGACTTCATCCGGTGGGCTCAAACAGTTGGGAACGTACTCCCAGAAACACACCAATAGCCAATAGCATCCAACAGCAACGAGTGTGATCAGTCCAGTGTGTATAGAATATATAATAATATCAAACATGGTCAAATAGAAGATCGATCAATCATAAGGCAACTGAACAAGGCATAAACACTAGCTGATTTATGGTGTCAGGTATGTATTAGTTTGACAAGTACTTCATTTTGAATACACTTCGAGTTCACCGATTTGGGGCAGGCCGGTGCGCTGCAGGATCTTGGTAAGATTCACGGTCACCTCGCCTGATTCGCTGGCGTCTGATCCCATCATTCTGGCGGCGTTCGGACCCCTAGATCCGTTTGGACCCCCGAGATCCATTCAAACACCCGAAATTGTGAGGATTTCCTATTCAATTGGGTGGCTATGAATCATGATATATATTATATCTCCTTCTCTTCCAGCATCTCTTCCGCCTGACCCGCACAGCATGGGGGGAATTGCCAGGGACCGGACGGATGCAGGTCATGGCACCGCACCGACCCGGATGTTCCGTTTGTCAAGGCGACGCCAACGTGGGAGGGAAGGGACGGTCGACCTCGCACCGACGGAAGGGACGACGGTCGACCTCGCACCGTCGGTCCTTGTTCCACCAGCAAGGTGGTCAGCTGCTCGGGGTTCTGGCGGCTTCGCAGGTGTCGAAGGAGGCGCAGGGTGGTGTTTCTCGACGCACGGGTGTCGAAGATTTCGGTCACTTCAAGGGAAGCGATGGTTGTGTTTGTGTGTGTGTGTGTCAGAGATGGTTGCAGGAGAACTTGTGCATGCTTGTAAAACCGCACTATGTTTGTCATGTCCACTCCAAACAACGAACAGCTCCCAAGCAAAACACGAAGCACTGAAACAAGGAGTTTGACATAGTTTGACACATGATTCACAATTATGTCCTGGCCTTGTTTGTCTCATTTTCTGGAAAAGGCCCTTTCAATGGGTCCTTTCATTGGCTGATGGAAGTGCTTGCTCCGCTGAAATGAGATGATCTCCCAGACACCCCGACATGGAACTGCCGGTAACTAGCAGTATGTGATTGGATGTGATTGGTGTTGTTCATAGAGTATCGCTTCACTACAGGTGGTTGCCCATGAGAAACAGCAAGAACCTTGGAATTCGTGTTTGGCAGATTGTTTGAAGCTACCGACGATGGCCTAGTCTTCGAAAAACGAGGTGTGGTTGGTTGACGAATCAAAACACCCGAGGATACCTGAGGCCTGGAGATGTGATCCAATCCAATCCAGCAAAAAGGAAGAGTTTTGTATGGTTTTGCTCATTGGTCAACATGATGAAGAAAAACACATCCAAGGCAAACAAATGCAAACAACAATTATTTCTGGAGGCACAGGTGCCCTATGGTGCCCTCAGCCGTCCTGTGTCACCGCTGGATGTCCTCTTGACCGACATCCACTTCGACTCCGACTCCCTCGACGAGGGATGCGCCTCAGGGCCCCAAAACTCCTTGGCACGTGCCAACAACGTGCGCTTGAGCACCTCGTTCACCGGGAGCCTCGAGGGCACGAGGTTGGAAAGCTGCTCTGCCATGACTCAAGACCCGAAGCAAATGGCGGATCGGGTTGGGGCACCCCGGAAGAGGCATGCAAATGACAGAATGGTCTTCACCTGGACATGTTCAGCTACAGCTACAGCATGAGGGGGTTGGTGATGTTTGGTGTCTAGTCCTAAACAACTAGTCCAGTATAGTATGGCCAAATCGATACAAGTGATCGAGCTTTACGGTTTACGACTTAAAACTTGCAAGCGTTGTGTACCTCCGAGTCACGAGTCGCGAGTCACCCGTCCACGGGGAATTTCGAGCGAGGACATGTCCGTCCAGAACGACAAGAACATGGAATGAACAAGGACTTGCAAGCAAAGATTCCTGGAAGTTCCAAATGTCACAGAGCAGGTTTTGACAACTGTCAGAAGGTGTCCGAAAAGAAGTTCGAGAATCTGACATTCACTGGACCTGCCAGCTGCTCTTGAAAGAAGCTTCAAACATCTGTCTGTTGGACATGTATAATATATATATATATAATTGTATATATATATTTGTCTGAGCACAGCCTCCGTGACTGTTGTTGTGGTCAAAAGCACTCTATAGTAGAACGTTGTACACAACAAGCAGGTTCGCAGGAAATTGTAAGATGGAACCCCACCACTTGCTCTGTCACCAGGAGCTGTATAGACCAACAGGATGGGCTAAAAGTAGGAGCCAAGGCTGTCGAACCCGTGTGTGCGATGGCCGTTGTTCAAAACCAACACGACCTGGGTCGACCTCTAGCATGACCGGACCCACAAAGGATGATTACTACTCATCTGCGCTGTCACACCCAAGACCTGTTACAGTGGTTCCAGAGTAGATGGCACAACCGGCCCCCAAAATGTCCTTCATATTCATAATAACTATAAAAACAAGTATAATATATATATAGGGGTACCACCATTGGGGGATTGTCCGATCTACTCTGAAACCACCGTAATTGCTTGAAAGAAGTCCTGCATCATTTGTTGTGTGGCAAAACACCACATGTATACAATTTGGGTATATCCCATGACCAGTGACAGTGAATGATGATGGTCAGTAAAGGCCTTTCTCAAACATGGTGATCATTGATGATCATTGTGTACTGTTGCTGTTACAGGTTATAAGGACACACCTAACAAACAGTTCACTACGACGTCAAACGCTCGCAGGCTTTCCTTGAAAAATCACGTCCGCCGGACGAAGCCGTGGATCCGTCGTGATGGGCGCCTGTATCTGCCAGGCACGTGCGTGCGCTGAGGCCCAGAAAGCTCCTGCACCTCGTCTTTCCGGAGCCATCCTCCGGAATCAACGGCGACCAAACGAACCACCTGAAGGCGATGATGTTTCTTCGACAAAATGGATGTTCATTCTGTTCATTGCTACCCGAGAAATCCTGGGTTCTGAAGGTCCGGGAAGACGTGACTTTTCCAGAGGTGCTTTTCCAGTTCATAAGCGCATAGGACCTGATTCAGTGGTACTTCTGGGGCCTCATCATCCTTGGTGCAGTACCTACCAACCTCGCGGACCTCGCGCGCGAGCGCGTCGCGGCTCCTTCCCAGTTGACCTTCTCGTCCCATGCCACGCAGTACCTGTGATCGCTCAGAGGAGTGTGTTTGAATCGTTTTTGGACGGTGCATGGTCAATTTCGGTAGGATTTGCATCTTGGCCCGGCAGCCTCGGCCACCCTTTGGAGCCCCAGCCCCATTCTTTCCGAAGGGGTGCCACTCAATTCTATGGCCTCCAAACACTTGGCGCGTTCTTGGTATTGCGGCAAGAGACTAATGATGAACGGAGGTGTGGCAATAATACATCTACTTTCGCAAGACTGATTCCCAAGGAAAGGACAAGCAGGCCCCGCGGTCCGACAAACTCCTGGTCACCAGTAAATCCACGACTAGTTGTACTTTTGCCAAGTTGTTATCCACGAATCCTGGATAGGTCACACCTCACACATGAATACAATTATGCATGTCATCCTCAAGTCAAAACAAACTTCACTGGTTACACTTCACTTGCGATAAAAACAAACAAACAACAAAACTGTGGAGATTCTGCTGTGCCCAGTGCCCCCCTTAGCTTTGACATGTACCGGACGCTTTCTTGTGCACATGGCCTGCAACGGAGCTTTGGAGCTCTACGTCTCTGCGGTGAAGTTTCACGGTCGCCAAACCCGCGCGCGGCCACGCCCGGGGGCGGGTACAGCTCCGCAGCGTCAGGGGTGCTGTTGACCAAGTTCAGGAAGGTTCCCTCCTGGAGATGTCGAACAACCCAGGCTGGGCCCACAGAACTAGATGGAGCCCAAGGCTCCAGGGTCCATGTTCTCAGGTAACTCGTGCTACACCTGGAGGCCAATGACCTGGAGGTGAAACAACTATCTCAGCAGCTTGAGGGGACACTCTTCTTTGGTTTTGGGAGCTTCTAGTTAGTTCATACCTCTAGGGAGCTGTACTGAGGTGCCAGCTGTCACAATATAATAACTTGTAGAGTTGGAACCAACAAATGATGACGATGAATGATGATGATGCTGGATACTGGATGATTACAAAGGCTTCTTTGTTTCACAATGCTCGTGGTGCTCCCCCCCCAAAAAAAAACCGACCATAGAACATGATGTGAAGGGTGGACGTTCCGATTTCCGTGCCGAACGTTGTCACCTAGAACCCACGAAACCAACACTTATAAAAATAATCATGTAGACTGTTGATGGATAAACCCTTCCAATATGAAGCTGTTGGACTATCCCGCTATAGGGTGTGTGTCTCTTCTTTTCGGTCAACGCATGAACGGAAGGCCTCTTTTCGAACCTCCCAACAGCGTCTTCGGGCACATTTGGCCACATGAAAATACTAGGATGGGCACGGACGCAGCATGCGGAGCGGACAAATGATTGGAGCGCCATGGAATCGGATTCGACAAAAACTGTCCCCAGAGTCACAAGCATGACAGGTCAGCTGAGTGGCCTTGAATGGCCTTGATGTCGGTGTCTGGTTCTGCCAAAAAACCTCGAAACTGCATGGAACCATCGAAACTGTGATACCTGGAACCTGAGCTTCTAATCACCCAACATGCAACATTTAGACCTTTGCTTCGTCGTGCGGTCGTGCGACGCAACGAAGTGCGGAACTTTACACTCCGTGAGCCCCGGTCGCGGTGGTCGTCGCGACAGGCTCTGCGGCTCTGCGGCTCCGCTGCGTCAGCGGGATCGCTGCAAGAAGCCCTTCTCTCAAGAGCAAGGATCTCCTGGGAGTAGAAGCAGGACGCAGGACACACCCGTATACAAACACGGCTGGGAAGAGCCAGGGGACGCGGAAGTGCTGATCTTTACGTTGGAAGCATCTGCATCTGCAGCCCTATTGGATTCTAGTTTGTTTGTCTATTTGTTGGTGCAGAAGTCCGTTGACTCCTTCATCCGTTAAGGTAAACAGTGCAAGACAAACGACAAACTACTAAGACCTGATTCAAATGGCCTTCAAATGACTTCAAATGTCAAAGCTCATTGAAGCTCCAATGGTCTTCAAAAACGTTGAACACTCATTGAACTTAAATGGTCTTCAACTGCCTTCAAAACTCATTGAAGCTTCAATGGTCTTCAAATGCCTTGAAAGCTCATTGAAGCTTCAACGGTCTCCAAATGCCTTCAAAGCTCATCGATCTTCGAATGCCTTCAAAGCTCATTGATATGCGAATGCCTTCACAGCTCATATGACTCATTGATCTTTGAGTGCCTTCAAAGCTCATTGAA